GCCCATCTGTCCTCTCTCTGCTCTAAGCTGGTGATTCTGTCAGTCTCCTTTTAGACATCCTGAGTCAGGGCTGACCACACCGAGTTTGGGGCAGTTGGGAGTTTGGTCTCCACGCTCCTTCAAAAGGGTTTCAAATCCACTGGATTTTTATTTAGTGTCTCTGCCTCTAACTGCTGCCAAACCTTCCTCGCCTCCTCCATCCTGGGGCTGAGCCGTCTCCAGACTCTCTCTTTGTATAATTAAAAAGAAAAATAGAACAGCCGATGTTGCCAAACATGTATTTAAAGTGACACCCTGGGTCCAGGAAGTGAAAAATAAAAACGTTTAAGGTTTAGATTAAAAGGCTCCGTGCTCAGCTGTCTCCTGACCCTGGGCCTCCTTTAATCCCTTGCCCTGGTTTGTAAAAGCCTTTTAACTGAGGCATTTATTTCCCAGAGAACTAATCACACAAAAATGCCCAGCCTCCCAGGAACCGCCTGTCAAGTGCAATGCGGTTCTATGAGGCTCTTGGGGAGGTGGGGAAATTGGGGTGCTGATCACCCTAGGAGCCACCCTGAATCCTTGCTTTCCTTCACCCCTGCCCTTCCCCCACCACACCTAATCCATGAAAAAACCCAGTTGAATGTAGCCCTTAACATTTTCTTAAAATCTGTACCTTCTCCCCCAGCATCCTCTTCCATCTTCTCCAGGTCGCTGTTATCACTTGCCCAGAAAAATCTGCAGTAGTAACCTGCTCCCTGGTGCCTCTGCTGCCAATGGCTTTGCATCTGAGTTAGAATAAAATCCAAGCTCCTGCCAGGCCAGTGTGGCACAGTGGTTGATCATCGATCTATGAACCAGGAGGTCACAGTTAGATTCCTGGTCAGGACACATGCTTGAGTTGTGGGCTCCATTCCCAGGGTGGGGCATGCAGGAGGCAGCCGATCAATGATTCTCATCATTGATGTTTCTACCCCCCCCTTCTTCTCTGAAAACAATAAAAATGTATTTTAAAAAACGAAGCTCCTTACCTGTGATGGGAAGGCCTTATCTGATTTAGCCCCTTTCTATGTCTCCAACACCATTCCGCCCACCCACTTTCCCCAACTTACTTGCATAGGTAGGAGCTACTTGCTTTTCATTGTTCTTTCCACAGGCCAAATCCTCAAGGCCTCTACACGTGCTGTTCCCACTGTTTAAAAGCTCTTCCCCTAGATCTTCCCATGGCTGGCTGCTTCTTCCCTTTAGAATTTACTAGGTGTACCGGTTAATAATGTGGATTTTTTTCAATAGATGGAGTTACACAAATGTTGTTATATATGCGCTTTGATATGTATGCTATTTTGTTGTATTGACAGCAAGCTTAAAACTTCATATGTCAAATTTTCTGAAGGTGTTAACATCATAGATATTTTTACGCTTGAAAATGTTGAATTTCGTGCCAAAAAAAAGAGCATTTGTGGGAAGTTTTTTTAAAAATATATATTTTATTGATTTTTTTACAGAGAGGAAGGGAGAGGGATAGAGAGTTAGAAACGTCGATGAGAGAGAGACATCGATCAGCTGCCTCCTCCACACTCCCCACTGGAGATGAGCCCGCAACCAAGGTACATGCCCTTGACTGGAATCGAACCTGGAACCTTTCAGTCCGCAGGCCGACGCTCTATCCACTGAGCCAAACCGGTTACGGCAGGGCGGGAAGTTTTAATTCATTACTTTATTTTGAAGAAAAGTGCTGCTGAATACTTCCGGAAGCTTATGGTGGACATGCTCCATCTCAAGACACTTGTGAATGCTGGTTTAAACACTTTAAAAGTGATGATTTCGTTGTGAAAGACAAAGAACGTCCAGGTCAACCGAAAAAGTTTGAAGACCAACAATTACAAGCATTATTGGATGAAGATGCGTGTCAAACTCAAAAACAATTTGCAGAAAGATTAAACGTTGCTCAGCTTTTTTCTTTTTTTTGTTTTCTTTTTTTTTTATTACTTAAAGTATTACAAAGAGTATTACATATGTCTCCTTTTTTTCCCCTTTGACAATCCCCAGCCTCCCCACCCCCCAATGTCTTATGTCCATTGGTTATGCTTATATGCATGCATAAAAGTCCTTCGGTTGATCTCTTACCCCCGCTCCTGCCCCCCAACCCTCCCCAGCCTTCCGGCTGTAGTTTAACAGTCTGTTCGAGGCAACTCTGCCTCTGTATCTGTTTTTGTTCATCAGTTTATAATGGTCCTTATTATCCATAAATGAGTGAGATCATGTGGTATTTTTCTTTCATTGACTGGCTTATTTCACTTAGCATAATGCTCTCCATCAGCAAACAATTTCTGATCATATACAAGCAATGGGAAAGATTTTAAAGGAAGGAAAACTGGTGCCACATCAACTGAACGAAAGACAAATGGAAACCCGAAAAGTCATCAGTAAAATGTTGCTTCAACAGCACGAAAGAAAGTATTTTTGGCATCGAATTGTGACTGTCAATGAAAAGTGGGTTTATTTATTTATTTATTTATTTTTTTAAGTGGGTTTATTTTGAGAATCCCAAATGCACAAAATCATGGGTTGATCCAAGTCAACCATCAACATCCACGGCAAGGCCAAATCGCTTCAGAAAGAAGACAATGCTCTGCGTTTGGTGGGATCAGGAAGGTGTGGTGTATTATGAGCTTCTAAAACCATGTGAAACTATTAATACTGATTGCTACCGACAACAAATAATCAATTTGAACTACGTTTTGATCGTGAAACGACCAGAATGTGCCAGAAGACACGGCAAAGTAATTTTGCTTCATAATGACACACCATCACACACTTCAAAACCAGTTAAAGACACATTAAAAGATCTTGCCTAGGAAGTATTAACCCACCCGCTGTATTCACCAGACCTTGCTCCTTCAGATTACCGCTTGTTCAGATAGATGGCACACGCACTTTCTGAGCAGCACTTCAAAACGTACGAAGAAGTGGAAAATTGGATCTCTGAATGATTTGCCTCAAAACAAGAAAAGTTCTATTGGGACGGTATCCACAAATTACTGAAAGATGGGAGAAATGGGTAGCTAGCAATGGACATTACTTTGAAAAAAGCACTTTTTTTTTTTTTTTGAAAAAAGCACTTTTGATGTTTCTCTTGAAATTATCGTGTTTTCTTGGATTACAAAATCCGAATTATTAACCGGTACACCTAGTAGCTCAATGTCACCTTCTCAGAGAGGCCTTTCCCTGATTAATCTATCTCACCCCCCACTCCCTGCAGTCTCTCGCATCACCAGGGTTTGCTTAATGTCAATATAAGCCCTTAACATTACTTACTTGTTTTTAAAACTTGTTTACTTATTTAGTGTCTCTCTCTCCCACTGAAATGTGGTGGGCAAATGAGAGAAAAACCCCTCCTTGCTTTGTTCCCTGCTTGCATTCCCAGTGACTGGTGCACAGTCCAGCCTTGTTAAATGGATGAATGGATAGGTGATGGTCTGGACCTCCACTTTGGTCTCTGGAATTCAGTTTCCAGGATGTAGGCTGGGGATGGAGGTAGGTCAGAGAGGCAGGAGGGTACAACACTGAATGAACACTTCCTGTGTGCCAGGCCCTGTGCTGCTAGTTCTTTCTTCGTGAAGGTCAACATTATTATTGAACACCAACTGTGTGCTAGGCCTGGTGCAAGTTATTTATTCAATTCAAGGAACATTTATTGAGTGCCTACTGAATGCTGGATGCTATACATTTATTAAGCATCTACTGTATGCCAGCTGTCCCAAATCAGTGCCTGTGTACACAGTAGTTCCATAAATGCCTGAATCAATGAATGCCCTCAAGGGACTCCCATTCTTCTTTCTAAAATGGCCTATAAATAAATAACTCTAACACTCAAAGGTAAGGCCATAATGTGGGTGTGTTCAGAGTGTAGAGGGGCCCTTATCACCTTGTACTTCCAGGTACCTTACTGCTTCACCTGTGAAGGGCAGGTTGACTTGCCCCTCACTCACCTGCCTGTCCATCCCCAGGGCAGCCAGGAGGGACTCTGCCTGTAGCACAGGTTCAATCTGTGCACTGATTCCTGCTGCTTCTCCTCCTGGTAATTGTTTGTCATTCATACACCAGACAGGAGGGCAGCAGGCTGGTCCTAATCCTGAGGCTGCCAGGGAGCTGGGCGCCTCCGACAGGCTGCCCACCCTCCCATTGGGCCTGCCTTTCCAACTGGAAAAGGATTTGATTCTTCTTGGTACAACCCTTTGCCTGGACCTCTTATAAAAATTCAGACAATGCATAGGAATTGTTAAAGCCTAAAATCCTTACCATAGTCACAAGGCTTTGCCTGATCTGACACTTCCTCCCCTCCTTCCTTCCTCCTCCTCCTCCTCCGCTTCTATTTTAAATTGTGGTAATATATACACAACAACTTACCATTTTAACCATTTTAAAGTGTACAGTTCAGTGGCATTAAGTACATTCACCTTGTGGTGTAACCATCACCACCATCTTTTCCCTCTTTCTTAATAATACAAGATAATTTACTCATTTATCATTATCTTATATTGAGATCTTATATTTAATAATCAGTTTAAATGACTAATACTGTGAGGACGTGTGAAAAAGAAAGAATATTATGCAGTTGTAAGCTTTAAAAATAAGAAATAAACATGTACATGAGCCCAGCTGGTGTGGCCCAGTGGTTGAGCATCAACCTATGAACTAGGAGGTCACGGTTCAATTCCCAGTCAGGACACATGCCCAGGTTGCAGGTTCGATCCCCAATGTGGGGTGTGCAGGAGGCAGCAGATCAATGATTCTCTCTCATCATTAATGCTTCTATCTCTCTTTTGCTCTACCTTCCTCTCTGAAACAATAAAATATTTTTTAAAAAAGTTATAAAGTTGGATGGTGCTGATGGTTGCACAACAATTTGTACTTAATGCCACTAAACTGTAGACCTGAAATGGTTAAAATGGTAAATCCTATGAACACACACACACACACACACACACACACACATATCCACAATTAAAAAAAAAACAGTGCTCAATTCAATAGTACATTTACTAAAGTTGGAACAATACATAGAATTTTAGCATGGCCCCTACACAAGGACAACGTGTAAATTTGTGAAGCATTTCATGAAAAGGAAAAAAAAGAACAGCAACAACAAAAATCCCTTTCTTCCCCAAAGTCACTACTATCCTCAGGGTTTTTTTTTTTGTTTGTTTTGTTTTAGTATGTGTTTTTAAAAATCCTCACCCGAGAATATTTTTCCATTTATCTTTAGAGAAAGTAGAAGAGAGAGGGAAAGACAGAAATATCAATGTGAGAGAAACACATTGATAGGTTGCCTCCCGCACAAGCCCTGACCAGGGCTCGGGTGGGAGAGGAACCTGCAACCCAGGTATGTGCCCTTGACAGGAATTGAACCTGGGACCCTTTGGTCCGCAAGCCAGTGCTCTATCCACTGAGCCAAACCGGCTAGGGCCACTTCATTTTACTTTTTTTTTTTTTAAATATACTTTATTGAATTTTTTACAGAGAGGAAAGGAGAGGGATAGAGAGTTAGAAACATCGATCAGCTGCCTCCTGCACACTCCCTACTGGGGATGTGCCCGCAACCAAGGTACATGCCCTTGACCGGAATCGAACCTGGGACCTTTCAGTCTGCAGGCCGACGCTCTATCCACTGAGCCAAACCGGTTTCTGCTCATTTTACTTTTAAAAATTAAATCTTTAGCCCTAACTGGTTTGGCTCAGTGGATAGAGCATCGGCCTGCAGACTGAAAGGTCCCAGGTTCGATTCCGGTCAAGGGCATGTACCTTGGTTGTGGGCACATCCCCAGTAGGGGGTGTGCAGGAGGCAGCTGATTGAGGTTTCTCTCTCTTTGATGTTTCTAATTCTCTATCCCTCTTCCTTCCACTCAGCAAAAAAAATCAATAAAATATATATTTTTTAAAAAATTAAATCTTTATTGTTGAAAGTATAACATATGTTTCTAGTCCCCCCCACAAGTACCCTCATATGACTTACCTTCTTTCCCTGCTTCAGTCCCCTTATTCCTCACTCTTGCTTCCCCAATAAAGTTGCACCGCACCACACAAACTTCTGATTCATTCTCTGCTTCCCGAGGAACCCAAGAAGGACATATGCTGCAATCTCTCCACTCTCCTGTTGATGAACATTGAGGTGGTTTCAGTTTTTTGAGATTGCACACGGTGCAGCTCGGATAACATTCTTGTTTGCGCTTCCTGGTGTACTTGTGTTTGTGTTTCTGTAGAATGTTCCTAGCCATGGAACTGCTGGATAATAGGTTGCACACTCCTTTAGCTTCACCAGATATTACTCGATTGATCCCCAAAGTGACCACTTAGATTTTTCCAGTTTATTTCACCTTAACCCCTGCCTTCAACTCACTGGATTTGTTTGGGTCATCTGGGTCTTCTTTCAGTTCCTTTAGCCCATGTCATCCCGTTGAACCCCCTCCCCCCAACCCCCATCACAAGGCTTCTGCATCTGCTCTTTTTTCAGCTGAGAACACTTTCCCCGCATGGCCTAGCTAAGACCTCCTCTTTCCACAGAGATCAGCCAGCTCAGTGCCTCACTTCTCTGCAACAGCTCCCCAACTTCCTGCTCAGCCCCAGACCAGGACAACCCCCTCCTCCCCCTGCCCATTTTATATATCTCATAGTCTCATACACCTCTCGGTTGTGATACACTTATCCGTTGCAATGTTTTGCCCGTCAGTGCAACTGTTGGAACAAGATCTAGTCGCTCCGCTAAGGTCACTAGCCTAAAAGTAGGGACCTCCATGTTTAAATTCACTGCCACATCTCCAGCACCGAACATGCCTGGCACACAGTAGGCAGTTGATATTATTCTATTCGCTATTTTATGTTCTTACTCATAATCGAGTTTAGCGTGTGATTTTTCCAGCATGTTTAACATGAATTAGCATCTACTGGGAGCTACTAGTAAGATCATGACAATGTAAATAAACACAATGTCTTTCCTTGAGGAACTCACAGATAAAGGTCAGTAAACATTGTTGAGCTGGCTGGAGCCTGACATGTTTTAAGTGCTTAGCAACTGTTGAATTGACTCAGAAGTCACCTCTAGTCTGAATATTACTATAGCGTGTAACCATGGCTCTTGTTTATTAAACACTTATTATGTGCCTGGCACTCTACTCAGTGCTTTTCATTTGCGATCTTATCCTATCCCACATCTTGCCAGGGAGGTACTGTTATTACCTCCATTTTACAGATTAGGAAACTGAGTCTTAGGAACATGAAGTCACTTGTTCCAAATCAAGTAACTAGAAGTAGTGCAGGCAGGATTCCCCAGCCAGAGCTCCTAACCCCCTACCATGGTGCTAATTTTCTCCTACCCCAATTACACTCCTTTCAGATTCCAGAGGCTGAGTTCTTGATTACAATGGTAAATTAATGATATCTACCACTATGGGGCACTTATTGAATATGAGTCACTTTGCATCCATCCATTCATTTATTCAACAAATATTTACTGAGAACCAACCCTGTGCCATGCTATATGTGAGGGGCTGGGGAAAAAGTGGCGAACAAAACAGAATAAAACACCTGCTTTGTGTTGTTGATATCCTAGTGTGAGGAGGAAAAAAATATATATACATATGATACTGATCAGTGCTACAGAGAAAATGAAAACAGAAACAGGAACTATGGAGTGGGATGACTGGGGTTTCCGTGATCTCATTTCATTCTACCAACAAGCTGTTATTTTTCCCATTGATAATGAGATTCAGAGAGGTGAAGACGCCTCCTCACAGGCACATAGCTCATAGGCTGAGAAGTGAGGACTCTGGAAGGACCGAGGATCCCGTCACTGCCAATCACTTTTTAAAAAAATATATTTTTCCCCCTAGCCAGTTTGGCTCAGTGGATACAGCAGTTCTTAATCCGTGGGTCACGACCCCTTTGGGGGTCGAACAACCCTTTCACAGGGGTCACCTAAGACCATCGAAAAACACATATATAATTACATATTGTTTTTGTGATTAATCACTATGCTTTAATTATGTTTAATTTGTAACAATGAAAATACATCCTGCATATCAGATATTTACATGACGATTCATAATAGTAGCAAAATTACAGTTATGAAATAGCAACGAAAATAATTTTATGGTTGGGGGTCACCACAACATGAGGAACTGTATTAAAGGGTCGCGGCATTAGGAAGGTTGAGAACCACTGGGATAGAGTGTCAGCCTGCAGGCTGAAGGGTCCCGGGTTTGATTCTGGACAAGGGTATGTACCTTGGTTGCTGGCTCCATCCCCAGTAGGGAACGTGCAGGAGGCAGCTAATAGATGTTTCTCTCTCATCCATGTTTCTAACTCTCTACCCCTCGCCCTTCCTCTCATTTTACAGGAAGGGAGAGGGAGAGAGAGAAACATCAATGATGAGAGAATCATTGATTGGCTGCCTCCTGCATACCCCTCACTGGGGATCGACCCTGCAGCTAGGCTATGTGCCTTAACCGGGAATTGAACTATGACCTCCTGGTTCATAGGTTGATGCTCAATCACTGAGCCATGACGGCTGGGCGTGCCAATCACTTTTTGTTGTGTGCCTACTGAGTGCCTACTATCATGGTGGAGACAAAAGGAATGTCCACAGTTTTCCAAGAGTTTAAGATTGGACAGGCAGGTGACTGGAGGGTTCAGACAGCTGGATGCAGTGTCCATGCTGTGCCCAGGGCAGACATTAGATGTGATTGCCTATGGGAGATGCTGAGGCTGGAATCCAGGCTCAGGCAGACAAATCAATTCCAGAGACCAGGAGCAGAAGACTAAGACCCATATGCCCTTTGGATGTTGGTGATTCTCAGGCACACCAGTCCCTGTCCTGTCCCCACAGCCAGCTCCACCGCCCCTCCTCTTCCCACCCTAGGTCTCCAGCCCTCCAGGCCATCGAGCATGACCAAGTGATAAGCTCTGGCCCCACCCTGGGGAAGTCACACGCACAAGCAAATAGCTGCTTCCCCTTCTCCTCATGCTGCATCAGCTGCTTGAGGGGCCTCCCAGATAGGGGGCTCTGGGGTGATGACAGCTGGTCCCTTGCCCCCACATGGCCCCAGGACTCAGTTTCTGTCCAGCAGATCACATGAACTCCGTAGGCCACCTGGAACCCAGGGGAGGAGAGCCTGAGTTTTGGAGCTACAAAGGTATAGAGTACCACCTCCCTCAGGCAGGCTACCTGGTTGCACTTCAAGAGGACCTCTTAGAACATTTGCATGTTCTTCAAAGAGCACTTTTAGGTTTAGCTGATCAAGCTGAAAATAGACATATTTTGGAGTTTGAGGAATTCATTCAGTCAACAAACGTTTGTTGAGTATATTTTATGAGCCCAGCCCTAGGGGCTGAGGATAGACAGTGAACAAGACCAAGGCCAGTCTTCTCAGGGACCTTTACTCCCCCCCCCCCAATTATTGATTGATTGATTGATCTGAGAGAGACCGAGAGAGATTTGTTGTTCCATTTATGTATGCATTCACTGGTTGATTCCTGTGTGTGCCCTGAAAGGGGATGGAACCCGCACCCTTGGTGTAAGCGGATGATACTCTAACCCAGCGGTCGCCAACCAGTGGTCCACGGACCACTCTAACCTACTGCGCTACCCGGCCAGGGCAGGGACTTTTCATTTTAGTTTAATAGACAGACGTTAGACTATTAACACATGAGCGTTTTATTATCATTGTGAGAAATAGTCTAAATGAGAAAGGGTTTTGTGCTTGGGTAAACTGGGCAACTGGCTGGCTGTTGAATTTCTAAGGGCCGCGTCAGAGATCTCTCCCTTCCGACTGGGGATAAGAGCCAAATCTCCGTCTCTTTTCGGAACACCCTCACCTCACCAGGGCGAAAGGCCTTCCTCTCTGCCATGAATAGGTGCTGAGGGGCCAAGAGGAGGATTTCCTATCAATGCTGCTCTGTGTATGAGGCTAGGAGGCACTCAGTAAATAACTGGTGAATTAATGTTATTTCAAGGCGGGATAAAAAGCCACTGACTCCATTAGCAGAGGGTGAATGGCTCGCGGGGAAAGAAGAAATCTCGGCGCTGTGATTCCCAGATTTCTGGAAGGATGAGGAATTTGGGGACCAGGG